GAACCCCTCTAGTGATGTGATGTTTGCTTTTCAACAGCCTCGTTTGACTTAAAACAGTCAAGCTGTCACAGCAAACAAGGATAACAATTCATTCAGAGTGTATTATTATTATTAGCAACATCAGCCCAAAAATGTTGAAGAATTTCATAACCTGACAGCTTGTATTGAATAATGAAAGTCAACCTTTTGTTTTGATTCCTAAAACAGTGGTTCAGCCTTAGCCTCTTGCTCCACAGCTAAACAGAAGCAACGCTGACACACTTGCTGTATGCTTTTGTCATTCATGAAGGGTAAATGGGGATTAAGCTGACACCCAATAAATTATTCATAAAGATTTCGTCTTACAAACAAGTCTGATGTGACTGAAACAAGTTAAAGCACTAGTGACGCTCTATTCAAGAGACTGTAGTTGATGAACCTCAAATGTCAAAACAGAGATGTGTCCTTGTTGCTTTGAAATGGAAATGACAAAAAGAGAGCTTTGACTGATCCGTCTGGAATTTATAAAAAAGGATAAAACAACATTTATCGCAGTCATATGCAGTCAACTATGTCTTCGGATGTCCTGAGACATGTGTTATTTATGTCTTGAGACATCAGAGATGTCTTCAGATGTGTTTTTATGATACGAGTAGTGTGAGTCCACACAGAAACAGCTCTCATTTAAATGCACCCATATAGTTAGTCACATCAGAATGCTGCTGGATATGGACATTGTATTGTATTGGGACATATTTAATACAGGGTTTGATTAATGGACAAGTCAATTGATGAAATACACAAATATTTGAGATGCAAGTCTTTTATTTCTTTCTTTTACACTTTCTTTTCCCTAAAGATGGGTTCCTTAGTACAATCCTCAAGGCCATATGTACATCGAAAGAGTTGTTGGTCACATACTTTTTCATTCCACCTCTCCACACTGACACTCCAGTCACTCAGTTCTCAGTGACTGAGTGATCAGATAGAACACAAAGCCGTGTCATGGCCACGTGAGTTGAAAATGTAGAGTCAAAAAAATATGCCTTAGCCCGCAACTTTATGAATCTGCTTCAAAAGCGTACAAAGAAAAGAAGGAAAATAGGTGAACAACTGAAGGAAATGAACAGGAAGAGCTGCACTTTCTGCTGAGTACTGAGATCAGTCAGAAGCTGCGCTGAACACAAACACACAGACATCCCACTCCCACAGATGTGGTTAATTAGTGCGAATGACCAACACGTTCTCCCACAAAATGACGTTCCCATACAACCCAAGTACATTCTCGAGTCTATCGCAGATAACGGTCTTAGTTTTAAAAACGTGGTTAACATTGAAACAAAAGAAAAGAAAAATGTAACAAAACTACCTATTTAAAGTTACAGACGTATATAATATATACATCAACGTTGACTTTATCTACTGGTGAAAGTCCTGTGTTTAAAATATGTTTCCCTCAGAACGTATCTACATCCCGCGTTTGTTGTATGGAAACAATATTTTTAAGAGACCAAGCTGGACTGACGCAAGGCTACACTCATGTACATATTGGAGGGTGCTACCCCTCATGCAATGCTAACGCTTGGAGCCAGTGAACCAACCGTTACAAATGTTTATGTTGCCTAACCTTAACAGAGTTCGACTGCCATAAGATCGACCCTTTACCATACTCTAGTTGCCATGCACAGACATGCACAGTCTCTTAAGATGTTGCCATTTGACGTACAAAAATACATTGTCATTGAATGTAACCAGGGGTTTTGCAAAATGTGGACACAGATGAGCAGGTAGGAGGGGAAGGTCAAGTGACTTGGACCAGAGGGTAATGGGAGGCTTGTGACTGGGACAGGAGGAACAGTCACAGGGCATCTGGTGGACAGGTAGACGATGGTCATCTAATGGGTTTGGGGAAGAGGATGGAGGCAGGATCATTAATAATCCTTAATATACCGAGTGAGGGCATTCCGCCATTTACGTAATGCAGGTCTGATTTTTGTTTCTTGTCCTAACACACATCTCAGTGATGAATCAACAATAATTCATATTAAATCAACAGTGTAAATATATGTATGAACATTATATTTAAATATACCACTGGCAGCACAAGCACACTGTGATTAAACCATTGATGTTGTTACCCTGAGGAACTCTGGCGGTACTAAGCAGCTCATTGGTGGGAGGTTTTGTTTTCTATTTTTTCCATATTTGATTATGTAAAGTGTATTCTGAGCTATGCACAAGAGAACCTTGTTTGTTATAAACTGCTATGTAATGTCTCCTTGCAGCAGAAATCACAACCAGTGTTGGATCAGTGGGGACATTATATTCATATAGAACTCTGCTGCTTTTGGAAATATTTGTTGTGTAATTCAGGAGAGCTGTAGGCTACTGTGTATCTCCCTCACCTTGTGTAAACACTAGGTTGGGGGTAATGTAACCTGTGAGTATTTTAACATTGCAACTCCCAATTTTTCTACACTACGTCCTCAGACTTCCATGATCGTTGTTTTTTCTTACTAGAGATGTAGGTGCCATCTGTGTGGATATCTTTTCATCTCTTCATTAGAGCATTTCAGCTGTTCTATTGAACGATCTATACAAAACGGAACTGGCATAACGAAGGCTGGAATCCACACATGCAGGTTTACGCTGCTGTTTGTATAAAAACATCTGTCTTCACCTTGGGGCAGCACTCTCAATGCAGTTGGTAATATCTTTTCTGAACAGAGTGCTGTGTACTACAGATGCATCCTTTACGTGTGATTGGCTCTTTGCTCCTTTTAAAATCGGCACATAAAGTTTAGCACTGAGCGCTGTTTATTTGACATCATCTACAGTAGCTACTGGAAATCACTGAGTTGTGTTTCCTCCACTTTTATTTATGTGAAATGCTTTCAAAAATGCTTATCCTTTCACTCGGTTGGTGCTGTAGGTCAACATTATCAACCCTGAAATGGAACTCTTTTTTCACTCTCTTCAAATATATGTTTGATCGAAAACAACGTTGCTGCTGTTGTTGTTTTATTTGTTGCCTTTTTGAAGTGTGGTTCTGGGTGATACTTCTCAAAGGCTGATTTTAGCCCTGTGCAGGGTGACATTACATCAGAGCACCAGAAACAGAGCCAGCAGTGCCGTCCATCATGCTCATTCAAGCTAATGAGATATCATACCCATAAACAAACTATATTTTAAAGAAACTATATCACTACGACCCCTTTTCTGCTCTAGAATTCCCATTTTTCAAAACTCCTGAGGCAGAATGAGTAATAGCAAGTTAAAGAAGTGCAAGCCCTCAGCAGTGTTCTGAAACCAGCTCTGAACTTCAATCTCCCAGCTCGCCATTGCCCTCCTCCGTTCACACCCAAGGGCGTAGAATTTGTCTCTGCCAATATCCAGTGACTACTGAAATATATATTCACTAATATTTTATAATATATAGGGACAACATATATAAATAAACAATAATAATAAATAAATAAATGCATTCACTAGTCATTTTGACCACATATAATACAAAATACAAGCTCCGTCCTTTTACTAACAGGTATGTGAACAAAGTACTCGACAAATCACGTCTCGTATTGGTTTTGGCTTTCCACCTCCGATGAAGAACATCGCACAGCAGCGTCCATCGTTGTCTCATCCAGAGAAACCAAAGGGGAGATCATTTGAAGTGAATATGACCATTAGCAGAGCAGTAACGTAATGCACAAAGATTATAGGGCAGGGCGATTTCTTCTTAAAATATTGTGACTTTATTCTTATTAAATCATGAGTTTATTTTGGTTCAAGTCTTTTTCGTGAAATATTGAACATTAGCCGAAATCTTTCTTAACTTGATGAGCTGTTAAAGTCCAGGGGTTATTAAATTAATTACAATCAACCCACGTATCATTTAGGTGAATAGTTGCAATATTCACATTTAAAGAGGTTAAAAACACCAAAGAGGAGGGAAGAGTAAATCATGCCTACATACTGTATGTGTTGACTCAGCAGAGAGAACAATAAATGAGAAAAGTTGATCTAAAAGTAAATATTGTAAAGCACTACAGAATGTCAGAGAGCCTCACTGCATTCAATTATATTTGGAATTGTCATCTGGTTCCTGAATTTTGTGTTTTCCACCTCATGTATTTTTACTAAACGTATGCATTAAGCTACAATAAACCCTGACCCACATAACAATACATGTGGTAGAGGCGCCCCTTTTTTCTTGATGTTGTTCACATAAGGTGCTTGAACTGTACTTCCCTATCCATGTTGTATTTATGCCGATGATTTACTTAGTTATATCAGTGAACTTGTGAAAAATGATTCTTGTATGCAATTTCTATCTTGAGAAGGTCAACTTTGGGCCACCCCTAACATTCAGTGCCCCCCCCCCCCCCCACCACCACCACCACCACCTCTCCCTCCTTTTGATCTACCCTATGAAGTTTTTTTGTATTGTATCATCTTATCCGAGTCTTGCTGCAAAAGCCAATTGCCCTTTGGGGACAAATACAAGTTGAAAGTTAAAGAAAGTCTGTGGAAGCCCCTGAGCTTTCAGTAGGCAGTCGGGAATGACGAACTGCTAGCGAACCAGTTTCACGGACTTCCAGTGGAGTAGAGCAGGAAGGAACATATCTCACTCTCTCTGCTTGTTTCAAGCTCAGAAACAAAAAGCTTTACTTGTCCATGGGGAACAAAAGTGTCTGTCATGTTTGATTCCCTCTGCTTTGTCTCAATGATTCCATTTGCACATAAATATAATTTCCTTTTATTGATTTGTGTGCCACAAAAGAGGATATTGACTTCAAATAAATCTGTTTTGTTGCAGGGTATAATTCATATCTTTATGTTCAGAAACAACTGCTCCGGTGAAGTGCTTGCATTATTTATTAGAAGCTGTTTTATCAGTGGGAATAGGAATGGGAAATGTCTCATAAATGAATGTGACTGACGCTTTTCCTCGTTGTATCAAATGTTAACCGTACAACTAAAATGTGAATCATTCCAACATTTGCTATTTGCTTTCACAGTACCACCGAAAATCATCAACCTTTCAAAAGATATTGTGGTAAATGAAGGCTCCAACGTCACCCTGATGTGCCAGGCCAGCGGTAAACCAGAGCCTTCCGTCAGCTGGAAACTCATCTACTCATCAGGTAACTTGTTTGTCCTGTAAATAAGTGCATTAAGTTCTGCTACATTCAAACCTTCACACATTCTCTGTGCTTCCTACTTCATTCTCCTCTCGTACTCCTCTCTTCCCCTCATCCCTCTCCCTTTATCCCCCCATCTTTGACTTTGTTTGACCCCTGGTGGATTTCTCGCCTCACTTATTGCCCATCATTACCTGCTTCCAGATCATCATTACACTGAATTGTTCGCAGAAAGTAAACTGACCCTGTTGTTATTGGACTAATTAATTAGGATAATAGGATGGATGTAAATGTTCTGGAGGCACTTTGAATGACATTATTAATACAGAGAACATTACTACTGTGTGGAGAATTATTCATTCACAAGCATGCCATGGCAAGTATGTCCAGAATCGGGGTTGTTGCATTGTGCATGCTCAATGGCATTTATGCCATAATGCCTCACTGAAGAATGAAGGGAACCGTATCACTGTGGGCCCATGCTTCACTTAATCAGGCAAGATGTTTGCATTCATAATGAGTTACTTTTGTGCTTTTGTCTGTGCTGTCCTTTGTGTTGATGCTGGGATCTGGGAATTGAAATGTAAATATGACACTAGTGTGACTGACCTGTCTGAAAGGAGATAAGCAGGGAGAGGGAACATTGATTGGCTGCTATTTGTGAAATGCTATGCTTGTGCATACGTGATTGTGCAGGCTGTGTAGAACAGACTGCTGTTGGACTTCTCTGTTTTCCTGTTTTTTTCTAAATTAGAGAAAGCAGATGCCTGCTACCCATAGCACTTTTCGGGTCAAATGGTGAAAAGTCTGGGGACTTTGATATTGACAACAACTGTGACACCTTTGAGCAAGATGTTGCACAGATTGGAGTATCTTCTTGTTGACTCATGTTGACATTCTGTGGTTAGGGACCCATGACCCGTAACCTGTGCAGCATTTATCAGCAACAGAACCTCACTGCCTCTGTATGAAGACTGAGTCAGTCTCCACATGAGCATCGGCATTTGTGTCACACATGTTGTTGTTCATTGTAAATTCTTGGTGTTCAAAAATGTAATAACATTGTACACTTTGGTTTGAGTGACATAGAGTTTCTAGCTACCAACAAACCTTTATGTTTAATGAGTGAGTGTTGAAGAATATTGTTCAGCTCTGTCTCTGGGTTCTAGACTGCGGCTGTATGCCGAGCATACTAAGAGAACACAGTACACTTCCTCTGGTATAAAAGCTTAGGATGGAGGAAACCCTGCCAGACCTGGTGGGAAGATTTAACAGAGAGTTCTTGCAGGATGCAAACATATAGCAGCAGCATACATTTACTTAAACACAACACTGCTACGGAATGCACAAGGAATGTTATATTCTTACTTATATATTATATTGCAGTATTAGTGCCAACACTGTTAAATGTGAAGGAGAAAAAGAAGAGAACACATTCTATTTAGCCCTCTGGTATATGCAAATCAATCAAGCTTGTTAAATATATAATAAATGACAGGTTGCAAATATATTTTTCTGCAACCCCAACACTACTCTAACTTCACCTTGCTCCTTATCGTAAATAACCTTTTATTAATGTCCAACAGATAAACCTAGAACATCTTTGACCAAACTTAAAGCTTAGTGGACTTAGAGGATCTTTTCTCTATTCCCACGTTATCTTATTTATAAATATGATGACGGAAACAACATTACGAATAATGGAAAGACATCACATATTTTTGTCAGTTCCTCTGACTTAGGCCAGACACACCACTACAGAACAATACAGTAGTGAATTCATGACTCCAAGACAACCGAAAAATGTTCCACACAGTATAACCATATTAATGACACTCAGAAAAGCATACTGTGTCTTAAGCAATAGACTGGAATGGATCTTAGCTGGGGATGGTCTTGAGATTGTCAGTTTGTATTGTCTTCGATTATCTAGCAGATTGTGGCCCTATGAGGACTAAGCTAATGTTTGTAAAGCTGTAAACAGAGGTGAGCTGACACTACAGCAGGAACTGGATCTGTACAAGGAGTCTGCACTGAAAGTTAAATACTCAACATAGGTGCCAATGACTTCAATAGTTTTGAGCAGTGGTGGGCCGTGCATTTATACCTGGGCCTTCTGTGCTGTCCTACTAAGCTACGGTTATTTGTTTCTAGGGGTGTAGCATCACGTATTCGTATTAAATTAAGCTTAAATTGTGGGAAATATAATGTTTTCGGTGGACTTCGCTCACGTAGGAGACACCGGGCTGTGTGACCTTTTGAACCTGGAACAATAACAAAAAACAGCTGAAGCCCCGCATGTGTTCAGAGAGGCTAAGCTAAACTAGCTTAGCGGGGAAACAGCAGTTAGCTGCTCCCTACTGATTCAAACAGAATCAAATGTCCGAAATAACCCCGCGATGACGGGATGCTTCGTCATTAACGGACAAGTCAGAATCAATGTAATTAACACAACGACACGAACAAACTCACAAGAACCAGTCACATATATGTATGACAACATAAAGTGTCAAGCCAGCATCACTGCAGCGCTAGAGCCATTCATATTACATTACAGTCATTTAGCAGACGCTTTTATCCAAAGCGACTTACAATTCAGATTATATCACACCATAGGCACAGCTGCGGGAGCAATTTTTGGGGTTAAGTGTCTTGCTCAAGGACACATCGACATGCGACTAGTGGAGCCGGAGCCGGGGATCGAACCACCCATCCTCTGATTGAAAGACGGCCCTGCGACTAGCTACGGTCGCCCATTATTATTCATAAAAACGACACGATAGACAAATGAACACAGTAGTGACGCTACTGCAGATGTAAAAACACAAAAGCAGTTAAGTTACCAAAGCTGCTGTTCACTTAAAGACAAAGTCCATCCTCCTTTCTTTGTTAATAAATTCCGTAACTCCCAAATCCATTTCTCCTCCTTCAGCCATTGAGTGTTAAAAAAACACAGCTAAGTAAAAAAAAAAAAAAGAATCAACACCAAGCAAAACGCTAAAAATGTCATAACTTCTCTTACATATGTTTCAACCTGAACTCTTACTAAACACTAAGATCTTGTAGCGCTTTCTGTTTGACAAAAGTCATGCTGGCCCACTGACCAATCACGCCGCACGTACTTAGCAGGCTACCTGAGTAGCACTGGCACGTCAAAGAATACGCCCAACATGTCAAACTAAAGATCTGATTGGTTGAAGACTATGACAATCAACAATATCATTCCCATATACTTAAACTGCAAAGGCTCTCTAGCGGGCATTGAGCCTCTCTTCTTACATAGAGACATAGGGGCTGAATCTGATTGGATAAAAGCTCTCCTTAAAACAAGCTGTGCTGGAAGCAGAGCAACAGAGGAAGAGAGGAGCTGTGCAATGACAAAATAAGCTAATGGGGAAACAAATTATAATACATGTAGTGTATTTGTGAAAAATTATTAAATTATAAAATAGCTATAACTTTGTGATTCTGTTTAGGCCAGCAGAGGAGGCCTTGCTGGCCCTGACGGCCCACCACTGGTTTTGAGTGATTGTAGGTAACTGTAAATCAAGTGATATAGAATAGTATTCAATTTGAACATGTTTTGTTGGAGATGAGAGTAACAATGCTGTCAGGTGATGGCATGTGGTTTTCAGGTTCAATTCAAATTCAAAAGTTCAGATTTCTAAATATAAAAGAAGAACAATCAACAGCCACTGAAATGCTCACTGTGAAACAAACCAAATTGTTAATAAACCAAAGTATTGGACAAATTAAAAGTCTGAACAGATAATGGTGCTAGATGGAGAGTTCACCAAATTCCACAAACACCATAAATGACCGCTCTAAATTGAATAGTAGTCCGTCAGGCAGTTGTCATTCTGACCCATAATTGTGAAACTGGCTTGAGGGAAAGTCAGGGGAGCACCAAAGTCTTCAGGATTCAAGCTCTGGGCATCATGAATGTCTATTCATGGTGATCCTTTAGCAGCATTGACTTAAACATAAGTAGTGTTACAAACTATATAAAAGTGCAGCCTTTTAACCATGTCATATAAGTTCACTCCACCAGAGAGGTCAAACACATTTAACATGAAGTAGTCCATCTGCACTTAAAGTCCAGGGTGAATATTACTCCCAACCAGGCGGCAACCTCCAGATCTAAAAAGGGAATTCAATGCAGAACCTGCATTCTCTCTACCGGCCATCAAGGTTGTATTGTATTGTGTTAAATTAGAGCGCGTGAGAGTGTTAAACCACAGATGTGTAGAACTAGTTTGCACATAAGCAGTACTAATAAGCAGGATGTACATGTGTTGTACTTGTTCCCGTGTAGCTTCAATGAGCTGACACATCAGATTGGTGCATGAATACAGGCGGCAACCACCGTTCTGAAGCCAATGCTGAAGTGCCTTGGAAGCTGCATTCTCTCTACTGACCATCAGGGGGTGACTCCTCTGGTTGTATAGAAGTCTATGAGAAAATGACTCTACTTCTCTCTTTATTTATTACCTCAGTAAACATTGTAAACATGAGTTTATGGTCTCAATCTCTAGTTTCAAGTCTTCTTCAATACAGCATGATGTTCATTTAGTAAAGTATGCTCCATTTAGAGTCAAACAGACCATAAAGCAGGGGATGCTTTAAGGCGGGGCTACCTTGTGATTGACAGATCGTTACCATGGCGTTGTCCGGTTTGGGAGTTGTCCACGTTTTGGTCTTACAACTTTAAAAATCCTAAACCTTAACTGCATTTGCCGTACATGAAATTCGACCTCTACATTTAACCCATTGTAAGGAATTAGGAGCAGTGGGCTGCTGAGAGCAGCCGGGGAGCAACTTGGGCTTCAAGGACACATACGGACAGTAGGTGCCAGGGATTGAATCACCAACCTTACAGTTAGAACACAACCCGCTCTAACCACTGAGCCACAGCCGCCCCTAAACTCGACCACAGTTTGTTTTTCAGTTTATGAAAGTTACCTGGAACATTTTTGGTAGCCTGTCTTATTCAAATTTGGTTG